TTGAAGCAAATATGAAAAGAGAATAGCCTCTCGTGGTTGTTGTGAGTGCAGTGGGAGATGGGAGAAATTGTCACCTCAGTTGGCCCAGGATTGTTTGTGTTCAGACATGTATGGATAAGACAGCATTTCCCAAAATGTGTTCTTTAAAGAAATGACATTAAAATAGCATTGAAAGTGGTTTTGTTTTGTGTCACTGGAGTTGAAACCCAGTGGTTCCTTAACCATGCTAGGTAAGCGCTCTATCACTAAGTTACATCCCATCTCCAAACTCGATATACTTGATATCAGAGGGTTCTGGTGGCCAAATCATACACCAATATGTACACTGGTAATACATTACTATGTAACCCACTGTTGAAGCTCCACACTGCATATTAACACGTGTGACTCTGATAAGTCTCAAGACAAAAATACACTGGAATGGATTTTGTTTAGCTGGTTTTTAAAATGTACTTTACCCTGGGTCACAGTACTGACCTCATCTATCAGTTTCTGTTGCCACTGTTGCTGTGACAGGTAAGGTGTTGGAGTGACAGAGTTGCCCTGCAGTCTGAGAGGTGACTTTGATGGGTGACGCGATGAGTTCAGGAGCATGGCCTGTGAGTGTGGGAACAGACTGAAATACACCATTGTTTTCCAGACACAGGGCTGAATTTAATAGAATGCGATGAAAGGCAATTTTGCCAAGAATGATGATCCAGCCTCTGGGTATAAGTAAAATGAAAAAGTGATAGGCTTTTGGATATTTTTTGAGTAATGAAAATATGAGTTACTTTGTGAAAGAAACTACTTTACAAATTATACTTTATACTTGTCTAAGTGATCTTTCATTCATTCATTCACTTAATATTAACTGTGACTATGGACTGCTGTGTTTTGTGTAGAAATACTTGGAAAAACAGTGAAAACAAGTCTTTGGAAGATCCAGTTCTTGTAACTCAGAGTGGAATAGGTAAGTGTAATTTGAGTATTTCAGGTGGCACTAAATTCTTTTTTTATTTTATTTTTTGAGACAGGGTCTCACTATGTAGTTGAGACTGACCTGGAACGCACTATGTAGCCCAAGCTGGTCTTGAACTCACAGTGATCCTCCTGCCTCAGCCTCCCAAGTACTGGGATTACAGGCTTGAGCCACCACGCCTGGCTAGGCACTAAATTCTTATCAGAATCATCCTTAAGATCTAAAGGCTTACACCTTAGGTCAGCCTAGGATCTAAAGTCTAGAGAATTCAGCCCAAGCCACCACTCCTGGCAGACTCTTGCACCCTCATTTCTCTCTCTGTCAAATCTTGACTACTCCCTACCTCATCCTCCCTGTACCTTTAGTTGAATTGGGCAATGGCCCATGGGAAAAGAAAGCCCAGATTGAAGATAAGATTTGGCTAGATTTTCTTGAAGATTTTGGCTCCCTACTTCTTTTAAGAGTTACATGGTTTCTGACAGATATTTTGGGAGATAAATTGGGTGTCATTGCTTGGCACTTCTTGAAACATAAGCAGCCTTTGACACGAGAGCTATGATTGCAGACAGGACAAGAACTTTATACAGAGGTGATGTGGCCACGAGAGATTCTTAGAACATGCATTTAAGTTTTCATTCATTAAATCATATACATATTCAAACAGTAGTTACTGCATCCCACTTTATGGTATAATTTAAATTTGTGAGCACTCGAAGGATTGTTTGCAATGACATTTAACCTAAGATTTTAAGACTAAGTCAAATTCAGTCAGGTGTAGACTAAGGAAATGCATCATGTAGTAGAAGAGCAGGGACGTGAAAATGCTGAAATGTGAAAGCTCAACGCTCCAAAGCCAAGAGATAAGAGTCTTCATAGCCAGTGCTGGTATTGTTATCTCGAGGAAGCCTCTTTCCCCGTTTCAGACTGTGTACTCCTCGGTGATGCACAAACAGCATTTATCAGGAGTCAGATGTTTGTTATATGGTAGCTGGCCAGCCCCACTGCGTTTTCTGTCCTTTGGGAGATCGGACTCTTTTGTACTATAGCCCAAGACGTGTGTGCCTGCCAGTGACCTGCCTCCGCTGCTGAGAGGAACCTGCTGGCATGGGGGTGGGGGGTGATGCCCACTTTTGGAGCTAATCTTGCTTTCTCTTCCCTATGTGTGTAAATTATTGGTCCAACAAGTGCCCATCATCACAGTTTTCCTTCAAGACTCTGACACCACCAAGATGCAGAGGACAAATTGAGACTTTTAGTCCTGGTGATAGACCACAGATATCATCTACCAGATATTGTTTTGTTTTTAACTTATATTGAGTTATTACTTAAACACAGTAAGTGCACAAATCTTAACTTCAATCAGTTCAACAGATATATTCAGCTATGTGACCAAGAACCAATCAAGACGGAATATTTTCAAAATCTCAAAAGGCTGTGTGGTACTACTCAGCCATCAGTGCCCTAAAGGTAACCTCTCTTCTGGCTTATCACACCATCACTTGGCTTTGCCTGTCTTTGAATTTCATTTCCCTGAAATCACGTGATATATACCTTTTTTGTATCTGGTTTAACTAAAGTTTGGGTCTGTGAGATTTACTCATACTGTTGGGTGTTACAAGTTTGCTCTTCACATTGCTTGACAGCTACCCACTGCTCAACACAGCAAGGTTGCTTCGCTCCTTCTAGCTATCCTGTGGGGGTTTTCCTGGGCTCGCACACACGCAGTAAGGAGCTCCATGAAGGACAAATTGACTTCTCGCTGAATCACATATTATAGAGTGGTGTGAGAGTCGTGAACATGTAGCTTTTCAAAGCAACAGGAAATATGTCAGTGATTTCTTTGCTCGAGAGCAACAGGAGTGGGTCTGCACACTGAGGGCCCAAGGTCTAAATGCCCAGTTAGTAAAGCAGAAATCAATGGAGCTGTGACTCATCCAAAGTTCTCTTATCCAATATGGTTCATTTGACTCTAGCAGACAGTATGAAATGGTTTTCAACAGTAGCCCACATGTGCACTCTCCGCGTTTGAATATAAGTTATTTCACATCCTGTGGCTACTTGACAATGTCAGTCCTTTACGTCCTGGTTTTAATTCGCATTTGCCCAGTGATTAATGAGGTGAGTTTCCTTTCCATATGCTTAATGCCAAATTATTATTCAAAAGAACTTTATTCTTTGACCAGTTCAGAGTGACAGCAAACTTGTGTGGAAAGCAGTTACCGCACACCTCCTGCCACTGTCTGCCTAGCCACCCCACCGTCAACTCGCCCCACCACGCGGCCACTTCATTATCACTCAGGACGCACGATTTTCACAAGGGCTCATTCATAGTGCTGGGTGTTCCAGAGATTTGCGACCTTTGTATCATACAGTGTAGCTTCATTGCCCTGAGATCCTGTGTCCCACCTATTAATGCTTCTGTCCCCCTCAAACCCTGGAAATTACTTGTCGTCTTGTTTTTCGCATTGCTATGTCAGTATGAATTATACAGCATACAGCACTTTTTTGGGCTTTCACTTAGTGAATACATCCTAGGATGTCTGTGGCTGATAGCTAATTTCTTTTAGCACTGAATAATAATCCCTTGTCTGTAACAGTTTATTCATTCACATTTCAGAATACAAGAGATTACTGTGTTAAAGGTTTAATTTGGGGGCCTAAAATATGTATATACAGTAAGTACAAAGTATGTGAAAATTATAAACGAGAAATGTGTCAGGATATTTAAATGCACAAATATATACACAAGTTCACTTTGTAAATGAACGAGAAGCGCATGTTAAAAGGCTGAAAAAGCTCCAGTTGAAGGGTGAAGAAGTGTATTGAGAGCTGGGAATTTAGCTCAGTGTGTTGCACCAGCCTTGCAAGAACAAGATTGAGTTCGATCCACAGTACTGGAAAAAAAATAACCAAAATGAGCAAAACAAAACCATTTTCCAGGAAGGGGACCCGGCGGTCTCATCTCGTAAGGGACCTACTAACACGGTGAGGGTCCAAAAGACTGGACTGAGGCAGTACAACTTCACGTGAGAATTCTCTGGCTTCCACTAACATGGGTCCCACCAACGGGACCAATGAAGCGCTGAGCTTCAGAAAGCCACTATGCCTGGCCTTTGTATTGAGTATGAACACAATTCCCCTTCTTTCTTCCCTTGTTATGAGTTACAGATATGGGGACACGATGAACAATTTTACAGGACCCCTGTGCTTCCTCCATAAAGGAACTGGCAATGGATTGGCCAGTATCAAATATCTGTTATGGAGACTAAGAATTTTAAACAGTTTAAGAAAAATAAGGTAGAAATCTCAATTAGCTTTCAAATTCAAAATGAACTTATCTAAGTTCTTGCCATTAGGGTCAGAAAAAGCTATAATTCAGGAGCAAGGCATCCTTTATTAGAAAGGGAAGGGCCTCTAGGAGTCTATCAGGTCATAAAACATTTGCAGGCACATGTTCTGTAGTGGTATTCTAGTAATATCCAACACTTGCTAGTACTTTGAAAATGCTAGGTAGCAGTCTAAGGTTCCACTGTCCCAATTTGGCAGCTACTAGCTATGTGAAGCTATTCAGTAAATATTTAATTATACTGAATATTTAATGTGGTCATCAAAACTTCCTGGAGGGCCAGGGATGTAGCTCAGTGGCACAGTGCCTGCCTGACAAGTGCAAGGCCATGAGTTTGATCCCCAATATAAACAACAAAACAAAAAAACTAACAAAAAAATCTTCCTAGTGGGCTGGGGATTTAGCTGAGTGGTTCCACGCTGCCTGCCTCGCAAGTGCAAGGTCCAGAGTTCAATCCCCAGTACAAAAAAAAAAAAAAAAAAAAAAATCTTCCTAGAATTTAAAACTGAAGAGCCAGAACTATTAAAAAATGCATTTGAAATTATATAACTTTATGTTTGATATTGGCGGCAAATTACCTTATTGTTGTATTAAAATTTTAAGAAACTAGGTAACACAATTAAAATCTACTTTTTATTTTTATTTTCCAATAAAATAAATACTTGGTAGTCTTCTCTGAAGTTATAAATTAACTATCCAGAGTTAACAAGAAGTGATTTATAAACCATATAGCTTTGTAAGAAACACGTTATTTTCATTATCAATTATACAGCATTTAAAGATAATGAAACACCTTAAGATTTCAAATTCGAGAAATCTATGGCAAGTTTTAAAAACTCCATCAGGGTACAATTGTAAATTTACACATACACTACAACCAAAATTTATTCAACATGAACATAAGTCCTTCATTATTCCCTCCCAATATAAGTCCTGATAGTTTCCAGTAGTTCTCAAATGGTGGTGACTCTGCCCTTAGGGGACATATGTTGTTTATTTGCCATCTGATGTAATTCTAGTTGTCATAGCAGAAGGGTGCTAAATGCACTTAGTGTGCAGAGTCTAGAGATGCTGCTACTTACCCTAAAATGCACCCACAACAAAGAATGATACACATCAAATGCTGATACTGCTAACAGCTGACTCTTATAAAGTAGGTCCTAATTCCTATGACTATCCTTTCTGTCTAGTGTAATTCTCAAAACAAATTTTGCTAACTGGAAAATTCTATTTAAAAGATTCAGTCTAACCACATCATTACCACAAGAGTTGACTTTAAGTATCAAAATGATAACTTCCAGAATGATCAAACCACAAAATCAACTAGAAATGATAGAAATTAGAATTACAGTTGCCTTATCTGTGGGTACAAAGCATTCAACCATGGACTGAAAATAATTTGAAGAAAGCAAATATATACAGGCTTCTTGTCATGATTTTTTAGAGATACAGTATAACAGTTCCATAGCATGTACACAGTATTAGTTATTATTAGTAAGAAGATTTAAAGTATAGAGGAAGGGGTGCATAGATTATATGTAAATGCTACATCATTTTACTACATATAAGGAACTTTAGTACCTGAAAATTTTAGTATGGAGTCCTAAACCAATCCTGTATGATTACTGAGAGATGACTCTTAAATCACTTAATCTCCCTTAAAGCTGCTATGCCAGTTTAATATATTAGGATTAAGTTTTTTTTTACATATTTTTCTGGACTATGATACAAATTTAATGCTACACAAAGCACCTGGCAAATAGTATTTTGAAAAAGTTTAAAAAGTTAAGTGTTTTAATTATTTTTTCAAATTTGTCATAATGAGGTGTTTGGACAGGTTAAATTAAGTTTTATTTGCTTTTTCACTTTACAACAACCTCATAAACAAATAGCAGTGCATATATGTGGGGTATATAATACAAAATTATAAGCCACTTATTTTTCCACACAAATTCCAGCTATAAAGTAACCATGTATGATGGCAAAGCTGTCCTAAGAGGGAGCTCAACACAACAAAAAAATTTTCATTCATCAGCTAAGGACATTATTATTTATTTATGCAGTCACATTCTATGTATTTTCTCATGGTCAATAAACTGACTCATATGATTTAAGTTATCCCACCATTTAAAGAGAAAAGTCTCTACAATAATTTTAAACCATGGAGTTAGCTTAACATCACCTTTGGCTGCTTTTCTAATAAGTTCTCTTAGTTCTTCCTTTGACACATAACAATAGCTTTTAATCTCATTGGGATCCGGATTCAAAGTTACATTCTTTCTCACAAACAAAATGTAATCGATTTCATTTTCACCCCAGATACTGTCAGACTGTGCTTTGTAGTGAATTCGTGTTATATAATCAATTTCTTCTGGTAAAACCTAGGATATTAAGAAAAACAAAACAATTTGACAATAACATCAACAAAAATTAATCGAAAATTTACCACATTTCAACAGTATCTTGAAGAGTAGCAGTGTAGTTTTAGAATAAGAACCTTTAAAATACTGATCTTTTTAAGATGCATAGACAAATTATTACATTATTTCAAGGATCTAAATTTTTTTCCATAGGACCAAATATGTAAGTTGCCTTTTAAAAATATTTTTTAAAAAGTACTCATTCATACTTTTAAATGTAACATTTATATTTTAAAATTAGTTCTTGATGAAAAAAATTTATCATTTAACTAGATGAGAGATACCTTACTAATCCAGATTTTATTTAAACAAAACTGTGTGTGTGTGTGTGTGTGTCTGTGTGTGTGTCTGTGTGTAAAGGGGTCATTTCAGTTCACTCAGTTAAATTATATATTTCCATAAGAACATGGTCATCTTTGATACTCAATTATAAAAACAGTTCACGTCACAGACTAGTTAACAGATCAATCCATCTCACTATTGAGCAAAGTTCTGATAAGTGATTTTAAAGTTTTTATTAAGCTAAGGGTGTAGTTTACTCGTAAGGCAGTTGAGTGTAATATGTACATGAGCCCCTAGCTTTGACAACCAATATCAGCAAAACACACACACACACACACTCTCTCTCTCACTCACACACACACATTTGTGTTTACATTTCAGTTTGTATTGTTGTCCAATAAAACTAATTACCTCTTCTAAGGGAATTCCTAATTCAGCTTTTAAACGCCTCTGTGCTGCTCTTCTCACACCAATGGCCTCATTTTCTTCAAGCTCGCTTGGGTTATTTAATGGATGACTACAACAAGTGTTGGTAAAACAACCTGGAAAATGTTATTACAGATATAGATTAACTTTTTTTCAAAGTAAGTCTGAATGATCAAGGAAGTTTTAAAAGTAACAAGTAAAACGATCCTTTAGGATTTTTAAATCAGTTATAATGTGCTATCAGAAATTACTCTGTGACAAAAATTTGTGGGTGCTTTTTAATGTCTTAACGAAAAAGTCAAAATCTGTAAATAGTATAGATTTAAAAGTATACATATAAACACAGATACATGCATAACCATCCCTTAATAGTTTTTTTATTTCTCTTTCATTATGTTGCTTTCGTTGTCTAAGCTTTTGTGTAGAATATGAAACTGTCATTCACAGGATCTTCCTTTTTAAGGTTGGTTCCAGAAGTTCAGAGTGACAAAAAGACAAAATAAATATAGTTCCTCAACAAGTTAACCATGTACATCAAGTATACTAACCTGGAAAGGTAATCTTAGCATCTGATCTCTGCTGTAGCAGGAGCTTATTCTCAGTGTTAAACAAGAAGACGCTAAAAGCTCGATGCAATAATCCTGAAAGCAGAGCAAAATTAATTTAATCATCCAATTTGCCCTTTGCAAATCAGAGTACTACTAGTAACTTGCTGCTACTTTGGCTTTTTTCCACAGTCTTCTATGTGTATAGTCTCTTCATAGCTATCCCTGGTACCCGCCCCCCAAAAGAGTATTTAGTCCAGACTACTTGCTGGTCTTCTATTCCCGGGGGAATCGTGAAGGTACACTACATGCTTCCTTTTTTGTATGTCTCTCACTCCATTCACTAGACTTAGAAACTTGACAACTGCTATTATGTCGGCTTAGTTCATTCCCTCTTTTAGAAAACCACAGTAACGCTGGAAAAGCTCAGTGAAAGACATGAAGTGGAGAAAAACGGTCATTAAACAGAAAGGTAAAAAAGTAAATTTTATTACACCATTTAACCGGAGCCAACTGGGGCTGGGGATGCAGCTCAGTGAGAAATCCTTGGGTTTCAATCCCTAGTGTGTACACACAAACACAACTGCTAACCTCAAATGCCTAGACAAAAACCACTCTGAAACAGAATATTTAAAACAGTACCTTTCTCGATGTTTTCATTTAGGTGACAGTTCTTCTTGGTGTCAGCTCCAATTTTATTGTCATTTTCATCAATAAGAATACACATCTCTGCCAGAAGTTTAACCTGTTGCTCATCGAGATGGCTGATATTTACTTCAGACGTCATTTCAAAACGTCTTACGTGCCCCAGAACGCTAACATTAAGAGGAAGAAAGGCCATTACATGCTGCTTTTCTGAGTATCATGTAAACTTAGGCGTAAAAGCGACCCACATTTGAGTCCAGAAACGAACGCAGCCTTTTCAAAGGTTAAGCACCGGGCCGGCTATTGAGGACCAAGAAAGAGAGGGGGCGCCCAGCAATCCCCCGCGTTGGGGCCACTGGTCTCGGTGACCTGCTTCCCTCCGCCTCGTCGTATCATCTTGGCCCTCGTCCCACCTGCCCACCGCATCAACCCGTCGCAAAGCCCGTCCCCCGCTGTTTGCCTTTGCCCCCGAGCCCCTTGATTTCCCAGTAAAGCGTGTCAGCTACCTCAAGCCCGAGATACAGCCAGGGTAAGGTTCGGGCTCTCTTCGAGTAAAACTAGCAACGCGCCCCTCCCTCTGACCCCGCCTCCAGACAGCGCGTCCAATCGTCCGCGTCAGCGCTTGCCCACGCCACAGGCTCTGGCCAATCATTGCAGGTGCGTGCGTAACGTAACAACGTGCCAGACTGGCGCGGTGGTGCCACTTCCCGGGGCCGGGGCTCTCCAAAACGAGTTGCGGCCTGCGAGGCGAAGCGGAGGCCCTGCGCCGCTAGTTGGTGCCTTGTCTGCTCTCAAAAGTTGATTTTGGTGGCCAGTGCTCCAGCCTTGCTTAAGAAGGACTCGACAACTGGGGAAACGCCCGAGGGACGCGGCCAAGACTCGCCCACCGACTGCCAGCCAATCGTGCTCTCAGTCCCCGCCTGCGCGCCAATCAGCTTGAGGCAGGCCGAGGTGGGCTGCGGCCTTGGTGGAGTACGCGCTGACGTCAGACGTCTCCGTCTCTCTCTCTCTCCAGGTAGTGAAGGGTATGAGGTCAGTCTCTGGGCGGTGCTGTCACTGGTTCGCAAAAACGGTTGGTATAGAGCCTTTGAGGAATCATTTCCTGGAATTGTATCCTCGTGTCGCCAAGGAGAGCAAGTACCTGCTGGATTTCTGCCTGGCTGGATCCAATGGAAAAATTTTTAAAAGCAAGAAATAACTGTAGATCTGTTCCTTTGGAAGAAACCACCACCACCAGGAGTTACATTATTTGGAAATTAAATTTGTCTTCAATAAGAAAGGGCTGTACATTCTAAAGCAGTGATACTTCTACTGCGCTTTGCAGCTGTAGAACAACTGTATAGCAAAGCCTGTTGATGAGGCAGGTCGAGGACCTTTTACATTTGGATAGGAAAACTTGGTATATTGTATTAGGCCGTCAGTGGCAATTGTTTTCTTATTCAGATTGAATAAAGCGAGACTATTGTTGGGAATATTTTACTTCAGATTAATGTTATTTGTAAATTTTATTAAAACATGGGATGTACACGTAGTTGAGCAAATTTATTTATTTTTTTATTATGCCTGTGAAGTTTACAGTAGTGAATTTGTGGCTAATCGTGTGGTGCACCAGTTCTCACACTTTTTGGTCAGTGGATGTTTTTGCATTTAAGATTTACTGACCACAATAAGCTTTTGCTTACTGTTAATCTGTCCTTACTCCGGTTTATATTAAAAATCAAAACATGTTAAGGAGTAACTCATTTAAAAGTAACCATAAACACTTTGCATTATCACCATAAATAACATTTTAAACAAAATGTACAAAATAGCTGTTGCACCTTTTTGCAAATCTCTTTAATGTTTGCCCTAACAGAAGACAACTGTATGTGTTCTACTGGCTGAAATATATGAAGAAAGTCTGGCTTCACAAACAGGTAGTTGAAAACTTGAGATGTAGTAGCCTTTCAGGAAATTAAGGTTTTTTTTATTTTTAATTTTTTCTCGTGCTGGGGATTGAACCCAGGACCTTCACACTGAGTTACATTTCCAACGCTTTTTATTTTTAATTTTTTTATATTAAGTCAGCTCTCATTTATATTGAGACAGAGAAGTTGATAAATTTCCCAAGCTGAGCTCAGATTTACAGGTCTGCCTCAGCCTTCCAGAATGCTGGGAATATAGGCTTAGTTCACCACCATGCCTGGCTTAGTTTTTCTTTTTCGATGCTACACCAAAGGTCATATTTGTAAAAGGTTTTTGCTGTGTAGAATCTGAATTCTAGTGAGTATTTCATGTTGTTATATTAAAATTGATTGTGATTGTACCTTTAGTGAATATTTTCTTATGCACGATTTGGAAACTGTTGATCTTATTGAACTAGGTCTTTTAAATGTTAATACAGTACATTTCATTATTCAGTTTTAAAAACCACAATGTCTCTAGCAATTTTATCAAAATGCTTTAAGTGTTAAAAAGCTATCAAATGCTTGGTGGCAGATATGAGCTTTTAAAATTCAAGTTTCTGCGTGAAAATTCTAATTTTGTTAGAATTTGGCAGCAAGCACTAGAAATTGTTTTTATTGAGATGCAGCCTCAGTTCATCTTCCTTCAAGTGGCTGCCAAATACCCAGGTTTGAACAAACTTAGCATGTCTGTTATTAGTTGCTTCTAGTAGAAAGGATGTTTCATTAAAAAAAAAAAGTTATCTGGTTGAGCACACAACTCAGATTTCTCACAGTGCTTTTCCTGGATACAACCACATGTAGAAGTAAGTTGTGTACTTGCCATTTTTTACACAAACTATCAAAAAATAAGTACTTTTTTGATTTGGAATCTGAAAAGGCTCCCAGAAGCTCATGTGTTAAATGCATGGTGCCCAGTCTGACAGTGTTCGGTTCCAACCCCTTTTCTGTATGTGTGTCTTTCTCCTTCCTCTTTCTGGCCTCCATGAGATGAGCAGTTTTGCCCCACCACATTCTCCACTCTTATGATATTCTGTCCCATAACAGGCCCTGAAACCCTAAGCCAAAGTAGACCTTTCCTCTTTTTAAATTGTTTCTCTCAGGTATTGTGTCACAGTAACAGGATAAGCAAACACAGTACTTTAAAGTTAATATTTTACATTTTAAGTTGCTAACATTTTATAGTTTTTGCTTCAAGTACATGATGGTGATGAATGCAGTGATTATTTTAAGGTTTGGTAGCATTGCCTTGATTAGTGCCAAGGTATCAGCAGTTTTATCTCTCTCTGCCCCCACCTCCTCTCCTCACTCCTTTCGATGTACCCGGTTCTCCACTTATTTTTGCATTAGTGGTGCAAATATCAGCATATGAAAGGATCAAGTAATATCATTACTTAATATTATTATGAAAAGTAGTTTTACCGTCAGACACCCTTTAAAGATTACTGGAAATAAAATTCTAGAAAGCATAATATATAGCACACATTTCATTAGCCTTTAGAGAGATTTCATCCTATATCTTGTTAGCCTTTGGGAAATTTCACTGTATACTCATGAGAAAATCAATTAAAAAGGCAACTGACATTTAATATTATATACTTAGTTTCTATTTCATAAAGCCCTGGATGTTTTTCAGGAACACTTAGAAGACCTTGCATCACTTCTTGAGAACTTCAGGCATAGCAGAATGCCTACTGACCTTGGAAGACTGCCTTGGTGTTATGGCTTGAATGTGTCTCCTTCAAAATCCACTGTGAAACTCAATCCCCTTGCGATGCTGTCAAGGGGTGGGGCATGATTAGGTCTTGATGGCTCTGTCCTCATAGGGAGATTAGTGCTCTTGTGAAAGTGGTAGAAGAAACTACCTCGGGCTGTTTGTTCTTCTGTCCCCCCAGGTAAGGACATTGTTCAGCCCATCTGGAGGACTCAGCAACAGGTGCCATATTGAAGAAGAGGCTGGGTCCCTCACCAGACATGAAGCCTTTTGTCCCTTATCTTGGATTTCTTAGCCTTCATAACTCTGCGAAACAAATTCCCATTTATAAATTACCTAGTGTGTGATATTTTGTTACAGCAGCACAAAGACATCAGGCTTTTTGCTCATTGCTAAGTAATTTCTAGACTAGAACTATCCTCATTTCTTTGATCTGTTCTAGAAAAGAAGTGAGATGGTCTTTATCTTCCAGTTTTAACGGGTTATCTTTATTGGATTGCAAAGTATAAATATGAACCCGGAAATATGGGTTGTAATGGTTCAGAAATGGTACCAAAAACTTCCAGAGGGGACCATAACAGCATTCCTTTGTAGTTTTGGTGACGGGGTGGGGTTACTCACAAGCTTTCTCCACCTCTGACCTTCTCTGTAGCAATTGGGAGGTAATCAATTATCAAGAACAGTTAACTCCAATTTTCCCTGTCCTCCTCATCGTTTTTCTCTGCTAACACCTCCAGACTGTCCTCTGCTGCACTGACCCCTTGTGGAGAAACACCAGAAGAATGGCAGGAGTGAGAAAAATGTCTTGGCACAAAGGACAATGGGATCCCACTCTGTGGGTGGGCAGGAGAGGGGGTGTCAGTAACGCTCCCAACCTCTTGAGATGTGGCAGGGAGAAGACACAGGAACACTGATATCTGTTACATTGTGACATTAGCACCTTTGGCTTTCAAAACACAAATGGTAGATAAAATTGCCTAAGCAAAACAGTCCACTAACTCCTACATCCCAACCATCGGAACTCCCCCTGGGCCACTCTGATCCTGGGAGATAGATCTTCAGAAGTGTGAACAGACCACGAATTGCTACAGATGGGTTACAGAGCCCTCTCAGATTTGCCATAGGGAAGTGTGGCATTGAGCCACACAGTGGAGATGTGAGGAGGGCCAGGATGTTGCCAAAGTAACGCTCTAGGCACTTGAAAAGTTATTGTTAGAGTGTTAAAAACTAAATCCGCATAGGACCAGGGATTTGGCTCAGTGGTTCTGCTGCCTGCCGTATGTTGTGCCCGAGCGCCGCGTCCCCAAGAAGATCACCACTCGCGTATGCAACACACAAGGGCACTTTATTAACACAGCATGCAGTGGGTCTGCCAGTCGGAGACTGGAGACCCGAAAAGCAATTTCAAGCCTCTTTTATAGGGTTTGGGATGCATTCGCCTTAGTAATAAGCTTTATTTCCATTATGATTGGTTAGTCGTTACATTTAAATCCTATTGGCTGTTGTTGGGGTGGCCGAGTATCAAGGTTGCTACAGGGTGACTGAGTTTCAAGGATGCCAGGTGGCCTTATCTAATGGTTCTGTACATTCTGTTGTTTTCCCAGGAACTAGTTTGCTTTGCTCAGCAGTCACAAGATGATTGGGTTCATTTTTAGGTCAGGCTCAATATGAAATGGAGCCTTTTATTACAATATGGAGTTATGCTGGCCTCCACACCGTACAAGCTCGGGGGCCTGAGTTGGATCCCTGGTACCAAAAAAACAACAGTAAAAAAACAACAACAAAACAAAACTAGCATACGTAGACTAAAATAAATATATAATTTAAGAGGCATTTTACAAATGACAACAAATAGTTGCTATTTTTTTCCTCTGGGTAGAAGTCCCAAAATTCAGAGTTCTCGGCCGTGCAGTATTTCACAGTTAGCTCATTGAAACCGGCGCTGGAGGGCCCAAGTCGCAAATCCCTTGGCTGCTACAGAGTACGTGGCCTCTCAATCTTTGTTGCTTTCTTCCAGTTCACAAATCTTTCCTTCTTTTTTTGTCTCTCTTTTGTATTTTTGGTCAAAGATCCTGGAGCATGTGGAATTTAAAAGATATTTTAATCCAGGAGATTAGTTCACATTTTTTGAAACCGATGGAGGAGTAGGCTTGGTGGGGAAAATCAGAAGGTACTAAAGATCCCCACTTTCACTGTCTTCTGATCCAGATCTCACTGGACCTATCTAGTTTGGCATTTGAAGGTTCTTGTATTCTGGCAAAGCAA